GGGGAGAGGTTAGCATGCCTGTGGATGTGCCAGGCCTAGCTCAAGGTGCTTAGTGCCTGAATCCTGTCACTCAGCAAACCTGCAAGTAAGCATCTGAATCTTCACCTGATGGGCTCGGAGGCCAGGCTCCGCATGGTTAAGGAGGTTTAGTGGTTAACACAAGCTGAATTAGCCGTTAAGATGGGGGCCATCCTTCTGAGTGAGCTGGTGAGGGGGCGGGGAACTGCATCCCTCTGGCCTCCCTGGTACCCTTCCTCTGGCTTTCACACGTTGCTTCTCAGTAGCTGCCCCCCCGCCACCAGCCTCAGCCCACCTCCCCACCCCGTGGCTGGGGAAGAGGTTGTGGCTAAAGGGATAACACACCCAGAACTTGCTCTCCTGGCTGCGTCCTGGCCAAGCTTCACTGTTTGTCAAAGCTCACCTACCTGCCCGACACACGTGGTTTTTGATGCCTCATTCCCACGTTTAAGGAGCTGAGAGTCCCTCCTGGCTTGCTGGGGCCCTCGTCTGCCTCTAAACCGCTTGTGTCCAGGGTGGGCACCGTGCCTCTTCCTATTGGCACGGCATTGATTTTCCTCCATGTTGGTTGGTCATCACTGCTCCGGGTAATGTATTGTAATGAGCTGTTATTCTGCTGGACGTGGACCCAAAGGACTTTTTATCATGAAGGCCCCCATCTTGAAGACCTTAATAAATCATTCACTGTGCACAACAGGTCTGCTCTTGGACAGGGAGGGGTCTCTCGTCACTGAGTCACTTTCTTGCAGTCCACCAGGCTGGCACCCTTTACTTTTCCCGGTTGGCCTGTCTGTTCTGACACCTAAATAAGTGACATCTCCCCCACTTGACATTAGTGAGAGAGGCGGAGGTCCTTAACCTCAGGGCTCAAAACGCTGACCACCTGGGTCAGGGTTTCTCAAGATGTTACCCAGAAGCCCCTGAGAGCTAGTTAAAATGCTGATTCTTGGCCCTACCCTAGATCTATGCGTGAAAATCTTTGGAGATAGGGCCCTGGAATCTACAATTTTTTAACAATCCCCGGAGAAGATTCTTATGAACATCAAAATTAGACAGCAACTGCCCAAACCCTTTATCACTTTAGCATCCCATGTTTATTTCTTTTGTTCCTTTTGAAGTGTGTGGGATGGACACATCTTTCCTTTCCTGCGTACTGGCCTGTGCTGTGCTTCCAGCTACACCCGAACTTCCGCAGTTCATTTGAGGGAGCCTAGGGGGTAGGGAGTAGAGAGTAGGTCCACGTCCAAGTCAGCTGGGGATTTTCCTCAGAGCTTTCCAGAAGCATGACACGCACATCTGGATTACGGCCGCCGTGGAATAAGGGCCCCTTGCTGCAATCCAGCTCAGTGTTGAGGGTGGAGTCCAGGGCTTGGAGCAGCTGCTGGGAAGAGCCAGGCATAATCAGACAAAGCAAGCAGGGCCTTGAAGAGACTTCTCCACTTCCCTAGAGAAATGGGCAGCATGTCCAGGCTGGCCTGGGTTGGGGGCCTGGGAGCTCAGCCCCCTGGGCTGCCTATACCTTGTGTTTCCCCTTCTCAGCACCCAGAGCTCCATCCAGGCAGGTCCCTCCCTCTGTCCCCTGCTCCCTCCCACTGGGTGTCCACCTCCCTGTCATCTGAGATGTTTTTACCTGAACTGACTGGGCCCATAGAGGCTGCTGGGACTTCAAGATGGATCTGGTGGCCCCTTAAGAGCCTTGAAGCCATCTCCCCTCACCTCTCGAAGTCCCCTCTCCTCCTACGCCACTCTGTTTCACTCCTCTTTGCTCTGCCCGCCTCTCTCTTTTGCCCTTCCTGCCTTAATAGATTGAAACCGACATGGTGTTCCGGCTTCTTGCGGTCCTGGTGAATAGCTCTTAATGTGGACGTGGTTGATGGGGAGAAGGGGATGACGAGCGTGTTGTATGGCGTGAGGGATGTGGGCACTTTCCTTCACTCCTGATGGGAGCAGCAGGTGTTCGTGCCCCTCAGGTGCACTGGGATTTCAGCAGAGCCCTCACAGGGGCTGACAGACCTAGGAGGGGCCTGGGTGTCCTCAGTTTCTCCTCTTGATTGGAAAAGGAAGATGACCCAATGCAGGTGTAGCACAGCCTGGAGCATGCTGCCAGCACTGGGCATCAGGAACAGCCGGCCCCTTCTTTGAGATCAGCAACAGGCATTTCCACCTGTACTTGGCAAATGGGATTTAATTAAACAGTTTGCACTTCTTAGATTTTCTTACTAAGCCTTAGTTGCCTGGCAGTTATTTTCCTGATGTTGTTCCGGCGAACAGTAGCCCATGTCGGGGTAAATGCCGTCGTGGCAGAATAAGTTTAATATTGGCATATTTTCAAAGGCAGTGAAGGGTAGGGCGTGGCCAGAGGGCCAAGGTATCAGACAGGCTCCGGACGCGCAGGCCCAGCGGCCACGGCTCACGGGCCCAGCCGCTCCGCCGCACGTGGGATCCTCCCGGACCGGGGCACGAACCTGCGTCCCCTGCATCGGCAGGCGGACTCTCAACCACTGCGCCACCAGGGAAGCCCGGAAGATGCTTTCTTATCTCTCTTGCCAACAGCTTTTCTTTTGTGAACCCTAGTGAGGTGCTGGAGTGGGTTTGCTTTCTCCTAGGAGGGAATACCCTCGGGTCTGCTCTGGCTCGCACCCAGTGGTTCTCATTGCCTTCTGAGTATAAATGGGAGGCCATTGGACACTCCACCCTTTGCCTTGCTCCTCCTCGCTGCTTCCCAGCCTATGTGCGCATGGGCCTGGGAGATGAGGGGCTTCAGGGCATGGAGGAGATCCCAGGCCCGGGAGAAATACTGTGTCATCTCATGGTGTGGGCTGGAGAGTAGGGCCAGGGCCTAGGAATGGGCCAGCAGCTTTCTGGGTACAGTGAGAAGGAAAGACAGCCACTAAGTGGTGTGAGGGGCCCATCCTCACGGGAACCACCCTCCAAAATCTGAATGGATGAGAGCCTTCTGTCTGCAATACTTTTCTCCTCTGGAAACAGCCAGTCAGAGTCTTTTTTGTGTGTGTATAACATGGAACCCAGTTCTTTGGAAGGACACAGCATGAGGGGCAGCTTCTCATCTACATTTCGGCCCCTTTAGGGATGATGCCATGTGAGTTGGGAGAGGCAGCATGTGTATACCTGCATCTTAGTGGCCTTTTGGGGTCCCGGAACAAGGGGCAGGTTTTCGGAGAATCAGACCTTTCTCAGCCAAAACGCTTTTCCAGTTCAGACCAGCGCCATCCCTGTGAACCCTGGGCTGCGGCAACACTCTGGCCCCGTGTCACTTGGGGCCTGCTGCTGGCTGAGACCCCAAAGCCCCAGGGAAAACTGGGGGCAGAGAGATGGTTCTGGAGAGTTAAGTGAATGGACAGAGCCTCCAGACCCCAGGGGGGGTGTGTGGACGGTGTGCCTTGTCGGGCATGTCGGTGCTAGTGCTTGGGTGACGTCATTTGGTTGGCCTGTGGTTTGTGTGTGTGTATGTTGATCAGGATGTTCCTGTTTTGCGGTTGTCTGATCACTTGTTTTTGGCTGTGGACTTCTGTATGAGTGTTTATTTTTAGAGGCTGCCACTTCTGGCCTGAGGGCTGATCCTTGGGCATGGTAGGAGCTTGTATTTTCTGAAATGTTTGTGGCTTTAAATTTCAGTATTTATTTTGGGGTATTGCTACTTTCTATGTGTTTATTCTGTGGGGGTGTGTGTGTGTGATATGACAGTGTAGAATGATAAAAAATTGTGTGGTCTTTGAAGTTCTGCTTTAGCTTTGATTTTAATTTAGTTTTTAAAAAAATTTTAAATTAGTTCTGATTTAAAATCCCAGCTTTACCAAGTACTATGTGTCTGCAAATAAATGGTTTCATGTCTCAGTTTCTCCGTCTTTAAAATAGGCATAACAACCCTGACTCACAGGATTAGAAATAACGTATGTGTAAACGTAGCAAAGTGTTCCCTGAATGTTAGCTGTTAACATTAGTATTTGTGTATTTGTATCCACACCTGCTCTTTCTGACCGCCGTGCTGGGGCTGTCTGGTGTACTCCATGAGTGCATGTGTCTGGGTGTTTTTGATTTGGGTGATTTCTGGTGGGAGTGTGTGTCTCTGGATGTCTTTTGGTTTTCTGTGTGTGAGTGTGTGTGTGATTGTTGGTGTCTGGGCTGGAGTTTGGGAGGGGGCTTTTTTTCTTGCCAGTTGGGGGCCTGCCTTGGAGGGGGAGGAAGGGAGGGGTGTGTGTGTGTGTGTGTGTGTGTGTGTGTGTGTGTGTGTGTGTGTGTGTGTGTGTGTGTGTGTGTGTGTGTGTGTGTGTGTGTCAAGGCTGGAAGCTGGACTGCTGACTGTACGGGGTGTGAAATCACTGAGTTCCTCTGGGCAGGGAAGTTCTTCGTTCCTGAGTCAGCCCTTTGGCCTCTAGCCACCCAGCGCTCACTTTTTCCTTTCAGAGAAAGTATTGCTCACGGGGTCCCCAGAGCATCTCAGACAAAATGGCTCAGGGGGCACCTCTCCCTACTGAAAGCCTCTCCTTTTGTGTCCTCAATCCCTAAGATGCTCCCTCCACCCTTGGACCCTGAAGCTCCTTTCCAGAACCTCCACGGGCCCTGGCATTCAGAGGGGAACTGTGCCCTCTTTAACACCGGGCCTGCCACCTTTGCTGGACCCCATCTTGGCCCAACACCCCAGGTCCTTGGGAAGCGAGTGCAGTGCCACATCCAGGCTTTGGACTGGGGCATCTTGCCCCCAGGACCCCGGCCCAACCTTGGACTTCACTGCCTGGCCCTGACCCTGGGTGCAGGGGAGGGCTCTGCTCAGAAGCTCGGGGAAAGAGCCCTTTTGTCCTGTTGCCCTTCTGCCACCTTGGCTGTATCTCGGGGTGCTGAGAGGATTCCCTTTGGGGATCCAGGGAAGGGAAGCTTTCAGCTGCTTTCCTCGGGAGAATAGAAGATGTCCCGCCTCCCACTGACATCTACTGTCTGTCTCCCCTCTGGTCCCTCTCTTGTAGAGGTTGTGGGCCACACGCAGGGACCCCTGGATGGGAGCCTGTACGCCAAGGTAAAGAAAAAGGACTCCCTGCACGGGAGCACCGGGGCCGTCGACGCCACGCGGCCCGCTCTGTCGGCTACCCCCAACCACGTGGAGCACACCCTCTCCGTGAGCAGCGACTCGGGCAACTCCACGGCCTCCACCAAGACAGACAAGACCGATGAGCCTGCCCCCAGCCCCTCCACTGCCCCTGCTTCCCTGAGTCCCGAGGAGAAGCGTGAGCTGGACCGCCTGCTCAGTGGCTTTGGCTTGGAGCGAGAGAAGCAAGGCACCATGTACCACATGCAACATCTCCGGTCCCGCCTGGCGGGGGGCCCTGCTGCGCCCTCCTCCGGCCGCCATGTCGTCCCGGCCCAGGTTCACGTCAATGGCAGGGCCTTGGCATCTGAGCGGGAGACAGACATCCTGGATGATGAGCTGCCCAACCAGGATGGGCACAGCGTGGGCAGCATGGGCACACTGTCCTCCCTGGATGGGGTCACTAACACCAGTGAGGGGGGCTACCCGGAGGCCCTGTCTCCACTGACCAACGGTCTGGACAAGCCCTACCCCGTGGAACCTATAGTCAATGGCGGGGGATACCCCTATGAGTCTGCCAGCCGGGCAGTGCCTGCCCAAGCTGGCCACCCTGCCCCCATGCGACCCTCCTACTCTGCACAGGAGAGTTTAGCTGGCTACCAGCGGGAGGGGCCCCACCCAGCCTGGCCACAGTCAATGACCACCTCCCACTATGGCCATGACCCCAGCGGTATGTTCCGCTCTCAGTCCTTTCCGGAAACCAAGCCCCAGCTGCCCCCAGCTCCAGCCCGGGGGGGGAGCAGCCGGGAGGCTGTGCAGAGGGGCCTGAATTCCTGGCAGCCTCACCCACCTCCTCGCCAGCAGGAAAGAGCCCACTTGGAGAGCCTCGGGCTCAGCAGGCCCAGTCCCCAGCCATTGGCAGAGCCCCCCATGCCTGGCCTCCCCGAGTTCCCGCGGGCGGCCTCCCAGCAGGAGATCGAGCAGTCCATCGAAGCCCTCAATATGCTGATGCTGGATCTGGAGCCAGCCACGGCGGCCGCCCCACTGCACAAGTCCCAGAGTGTCCCTGGGGCCTGGCCCGGCGCTTCCCCGCTCTCCTCCCAGCCCCTCTCTGGCTCTTCCTCCCAGTCCCATCCACTGACCCAGTCCAGATCTGGCTACATCCCCAGTGGGCATTCCTTGGGCACCCCTGAGCCTGCTCCCCGGGCCTCCCTGGAGTCTGTCCCTCCTGGCAGGCCTTACTCACCTTATGATTATCAGCCGTGTCTAACGGGGCCCAACCAGAGTTACCGTCCAAAGAGCCCAGCCGCCTCCTCCTCGTCTGCCTTCCTTCCAAACACCCAGAGCTCTCTGGGGCCTCAGCTGCCCCCAGTCTCTCTCCCTGGCCTCACCACTCAGCCTCAGCTTCCACCGAAGGAGGTGACTTCAGACCCATCTCGAACTCCAGAGGAGGAGCCATTGAACCTGGAGGGGCTTGTGGCCCACCGGGTAGCAGGTAAGAGCCTCAGGGGCCGTGAGTTCTGGGTATCCCCTCCTTATTCCCTGCACACCTTCCCTCTCTGGTCTTGGCTGGTTTTGCTGCAGCAAGGTGCAGGCCCAGCCATCACGCCTTAGCGGGTGCTGCTTTGGCCTGGGGAAGAGGCTGTCAGGAGCCCACATGACAGCCATCCCTTCCTGCATTCATTGCCTGTTAGGCTCCAAGCCGGGCACTGAGGTTCAAAGATCAGGAATTTTCGGTCTAGTGAGGGAGCAGGTACACAGACAGATAATTCTAACAGAGAGCAATGTGTACTACAACAGAAGTGGGGACCAAAGCCCCAGAGCCTGGGAAAGCAAGGTTTCCCACCTAGGGCAATCAGGGAAAGCTTACTGGAGGTGGTGACTCCAGGGCTGGAGGACAAATTTTCTAGGCAGAGAGGAGATGCTCTCTGCAGCTGCCTGCAGTGGAGAAGGCCTGGAGGAGGCTGGAGGGAGGCCTCTGTGGACTCCAGTTCCCTTTTGAGCCCTCCCAGAGGCACAGCAATGCCTGAGAGGGTGTCCTGAAGCCCTTGCGCTCCATCTGAGTGTTCAACCCTGGTGCTTCCTTTCAGGATATTTCTCTGTTTCTGGGGAGGCCAAGGTCCATCTTCTTGTTCAGCTGTCCTGCTAGTCCTTGCTTTAGGACCAGCTCTGTATGGGAAGCAGGCACTGAGAAGCAGAGCCCCATTTCCTATCAGAGAATGGACTTATTCTCCAGAGAGAGGAGACAGAGTGGGGCAACCAGATGAGCCTACTGGGGAGATAAAGGCAAGGAGTGGCAGAGTGTCCAGGGCCATGTTGGGAGGGGCAGGAAGGGTTCCCTTCCTTCCCTCTGGCCTAAGCCTGTGACCATTCCATGGGGGCAGCCAAACTGGGCGGGAAATCCCATGAGTTGGTTTTATCGTGGAGGTGAAGCCCAGACCAGGGTGGACCAGAGCCTGGGGCGAGGGGGACCTTGTGCCAAGCCCCTCAGCTGACAGGGTGGTGGGTAGTCAGGGAGCAGAAGGGGAGCCTGGGCAACTGACTCTGCCTTCTGTCCCTTTTCCTAAATTTAGGGGAAGCTGAGTCACCATGCCAGCTACCGGGAGGAAGGGAGACGCCATCCCTGAGGATGGGTGGTGGGTTTAGGGAAGTAGCTGGGGCCGGGCCAGTTGGCTGTTAGGTTTGAGTCCAGGACCTGGTGTGGTGGCATGGCCTCCCTGCTCCTGTACTTCAGAGCAGAGCACAGCCCCCAGTTCAACTACTGGTAACTTGAAATTGGCCGTAATGGCAGTATTCACACTATGGAAGTTGGCAATCAAGGACTTAACCTGCCCTGGAGAGCTGGTCTAGCAGCACATCGTTGTCTTTACCCAAGAGTCAAAGCATAAGATGGGTAGCTCTATAACCCGAGGGGTGAAATGCTCCAATCATTGTCTTTACCCAAGAGTCAAAGCATAAGATGGGTAGCTCTATAACCCAAGGGGTGAAATGCTCCATGGGGATCCCCGTGGGGCTGGTGTCTTCTACTTTTGTCCACATCTGGGCCCATGAGATAAGGAGTACCTGGCTTGTCAGCAGAAACCATTTTCCTCCTGGTATTGTTGAAGGGAGAGGAATGGGCCCTCTCAATATTTTACAGAGTTGGGGTGGTGGCCTGAGGAATAGTGACACTCTAGTCTAATGATGGGCAGGATCCAAGGGGCTTTTCTCTGGGGGAGCAGGATGAGTTTCCTCCTTTTCACAGAACCCTCTGTATAGCTCTCCCAGAGCTTGCTCAGAAGGAAGCCATACTTTAATGGCCCTGGAAGGATGTCCGTCTTGTAGTGGCTCTCCCCTCATCCTTTTCTCTCCTACCAGTTTCTGAGGTCTTGCTTCTCAACCTCCATATCCTGTAGCTGCTCAGGTTTTGGCTGCCAAGAAGTCATATGGAGGGAGGGATATTGTTGGCACAGTATCTGTGTCCTCCAACCCTGCTGTCATCTCCTCCACCAACTGTGAGTGACTCAGTCAGGAGAAGGGATAAGATGTGTAGAGGGGACAGTTATATTTGGTCTCCAGGGCTACAGAGGACCTCTTGGGTCCATGCCCTGTCACGAACAGTATTTCTTATGTCAGCAGGTCCTGCTTGCACAACTTCTGCAGTAGCCCTATCTGCAGTGCTTGTGTAGACAAAGATGCACTGGCAGGATTAATTTGTAGAACAGTCTAGGAGCCAAGGGATAGACTTTCAGCACTGCCTTTTTCTTCTCATTTTACATTCTTCTGCAAGAAGCCGGAATGTAAGCTTCAACATGAGTAACCTCAGATCTAAGGGAGAACCTCCATATGGTCATCAGTATGATCTGGTTTCTCCTGGCCTTTCTCCCTCAAGTCTGCTCTTTCTTCCTTGGCTGTCAACTGAGGCTGTCATACCTCAGTTCTCTGTCCTTGGTTCATCCCACTTTGGTCCAACTACTCCTTATGTCTTATTTCAGCTTAGCGCTCAGAGTATGTAGGGTTAGTTTTCTTAACTTGACGAAGGGTAGGTACTGTAGCACATGTCACACTTTCTTGTGAAACATTAGAATTAGAAGCATTCCCATTACACCAGGGACAAAATAAAGATGCCTGTTATCACCACTATCATTTAACATTGTACTGGATATCCCAGCCAGTGCAATAAGACAAGAAAAGGAAATAAGAGTCATAGTTGTTGAGTCCAATCAAGTTATCTTATGATCCTGATTCTGTGACTGTACTGATCTCAGGTGTCTCTAGAGGTAGAGATTTCAATGCATATTGGAAATCAGAAGATGATCTTATCCTTAAGGAGTCTAGAGTTTAGAAAGGGGAAAAAGAACTGGAACTTTAACACAAAGTTATTTGTAATAAGAGAGGTATGAAGAAAGTTCTGTGGGAATGAAGAAAAAGGAAAGCTCACTATCAGCTGGAGAGATTGGGGAGGCTCTTTGTTGAGTGTGGGTTTTATAGCGCCTTGGAAGATGGGTAGGACTTTGAAAATGGGTGAGGTCATTGGAGAGAGAGGGCTCATAATGAAGATAGGAAAACTTAAGGCACGTTTGAAGAATAGAGTGGATTGAGAGCATATAGGCTGTGTGAGAGAGAGTCAAGAAAGGTAGCCTGGGGCCTGCATCTGTTTGGTTGTAATACCAGACTAAGGAGCTTGAATCTTAGCTAGTGGCAGTGTAGGAAGCCATTACTGTGTTTAGGAGAGGATGCCATGATCAGGGCTGTAGTTTAGGGAGATGTATCTGGTGGGTCTGGGCAGAAGGGATACAAAAAGGGAGAGACTTTGAGCTGGGAGATGCTAGGAGCTTATTAGCTAACCTAGGTGATGGGGGCTGAGTTAGGGTGCTGGCCATGGAAATGAAAAAGAAGAGATGGGTGCCAAGGATGCTGTGGTGGGATGAGAACTGATGCATTTACAAGTTGATTGGAGGTAGTAGGTGAAGAAGAGGGAGACATCAAAGATAATTCTGAGGCTCCATGAATAGAAACAGAATGATGGTTCCATTAATATGCCAGAAGTTAGCAGGAGGAGCAGGTCTGGTGTAAGATGAAGGCCTCAGTGTTAGATATGTTGAATTTGAGTGACAGTGGAGCCTCCAGGTAGAGATGTATGGAAGGCAATCAGACATCCAGAATTGGAGCTCAAAAGAGTGGAAAGAGCTATAGATTTGGGAGTCATCCTCACAAAGGTAAAGGTTAAAGCTTTGGGCATGAATGAGATCTCTATATGTCAGAGGGCATGGAGAGAAAAGAACTTAGAATGAAATGGCCACGAGGGAATGGAGGTCATACAGGGGACTAAGAACAAATGTTCAGGACAGAGAGAGGACACTAAGACAGTGGGTCATCACAGAAGTCAGAATAGTAAAGGGTTTCCAGGAGGAGGGGTGGGAGGTTAGCAATATCACTGTGGAGAGATCGTGACGAGAAGGACTCAGGAAAATTCACTGGGCTTTTGCCAATTAGGTGGCCCCAGTGATTTTCAAAGGCATATTTTCAATAGAGTGGTGGTGACAGAAACCAGACAGGGATTGAGGAGTGAGAGATGAGAGGGTGCAGACAGCATATCAACCATTCTTTTGAGTGGCTTTGTGATAAAAGGGAAGAGGGTGGTAGCTAAAGAGGGTAGCAAGATACTGAGAACTTCTTTCTGTGAATATAGGAGCCATGAGAATGTTTGTAGAGGGGGAGGAGAGAGAGGTTGAATATGGAGGGAAGAGGGAGAAGAAAAGATAGAAGAGAAAGAAATTGATAGAATAGGTCTCTAAGGAGGTAAGAGGAGTTAGGCTTAGGAACCCAGGTGGATAATTTAGGCTCAGCCAGGAGGTGAGGTACCTCTTCGTGAAATAAGAATAGAGGATGGATACAGATATAGGGAGATATTGGTGTCAAGCCTTGGGAGCTTGAATTGAGAACCCAATTTTTATATTTCATCATGGAAATAGGAGATGAGATCAAGGCCCATTCCATCATTCGTTCAATGTGTGCTCTTAATCTATGCTACATACTAGCCTAGGTTCTAGAAAAATGGTGGTAAACAAAAGAGATAAAGATCCTTTTTTTAAGAGGTGGAAATGGACAATAAACAAATAAGCAAATACACATATAATATGTCAGATGGGTGATAAGTGCCATAGAGATAAAATAAAGCAGTGAAATGCCAATGCGGGGTGAAGGGTTGCGGCGGGGGGTGGTTGGATGGTCAGGGAAAAGGCTTCCTTGGGCAGGGAGGGAATGTGCCAGATGGACTAGCAAGTGCAAAGGTCCTGAGGCGGGAGTGTGCCTGATATGGGGAAAGTAGGGGGCCCGAAATCAGAGAGGGAATGAGAATGGGGACCAGCTTTCTGTGGGCCTTGTAGGTGATCATAAGACCTCTGGCTTATACTCTGCATGGTGTGAGAAGCCTTAGGAAGGATTTGGGCAGAGGAGTGACATCATCTGACTTGTTCTAAAAACATCAGTGTGGCCAGGATGGAAGGAGGGAGA